CGCTGTTCCAAGCGATGCTGATTCACAGGATGTTGATGAGGAGCCCTTGGATAGGATGCAGAGGTTAATCAGGGATGCCCAGTCACCCGAACACCTCATTTGCCATTTTCCAAAGAATCCAGCATGCCCGATTTGCAATCGAAGTAGAATGTATAGAAAGAAAGTTCGAAGGCTTAGGTCTGATCCACTCCGTGACAGAGGAGGGTTGGAGCCAGTCACGCAGTTTGGTGAACGTATTTCCACAGATTTCATCATTGTTCAAAAGCTTGCCTCTGACAAGGAAAACACTGTGCAGGTAATTCGAGATGAGTTTAGTGGTTGGATTCGTGCATTCCCCATTTCTAAGCGTGATGCATCCACGGTTGTCAAGAACTTGTTGAGTTTCTTAGGACCTTTATACAATCAGCCGTGCATAATGATAAAATCAGACCAGGCAACAGAAACTCGCCTTGCAGCACAGCAGCTTGGTTTTGTTTTTGAAGGAACTTTGGAAAATCGCCATCCCCACAATAGTGTTTTGGAAAGAGACATACGGACTTTGGAGGAGATCACGCGTGCCTGTCACTTGCAAGCTGGTTTTGACACAATTGTTGGGTTGTGGCCTCACTCAGTAATGTTTGCAGCGACTATTTTCAATGCGAAGCATAAACTTGCTGATCGTGAGGAAATCCGACATAAACTAGCTGTAGGTGCTGAGTTCGAAGGTCGCCTTTTGTTGTTGGGCCAATTGGTTCACTATAGGGTAGACCCCCTTCAAAGGGAAAAGTTCGAAGCATCCACCAAACCTGGGTTGTTTGTTGGTTGGCGGTATGGTGATGGACCGAAAAGCCACTTGGGTGTGTATCTTGTGTTGGATCATGCCAAGGTCAAAGGTAGAGAGCCAGGTTTCACGAACAGCATCGCTGTTCCAGCAGAGGAGTTGTATGTGGAAGAAGGGCCAGCAAAGCTGCCCATCAAGCATGCAGCAGATCAAGCCCTGGCAACCTTTGGTGAAGTGAAACTCGATGAGATTTTACCCCTTGACACCCCCTTCTCAAGCATCACACTTGATAGTAAAACCAAAAGAAATGAGTATATAACCTTAGACAGGATTATCAAATACGGGCCAACTGTTGGGTGTAGGGCATGTGCATTTAGTTCAGAATACAGTGTGCATACTCCAGCTTGTCGTGCACGTTTCAATGCGCTTGTCAGAGCCGATCGCGTTGCCACAGGTACCAAGACTCCAGGCACTCCATCAGCGGTTCCACGGACACCAGCCGTTGAACCAGTAGTTGAGCCTGTTGTCGAACACCCAGTTGATCCAGAAATCGAACCAGAAAGTTTTGTTGAGGCAGCAGCAGATGACCTTCCTTTCAGTGCGGGGATCCCGCCAGGATCTTCAGAAGCAGCCATGGTTGGGAAAGTAGCATTTGTCCTCGATGATACATTTTTGGAAATGAATAGATCAAGAAACATGATTAGAAGAACTTCATCGTTGAGTGGCCGTGGTGTTTTGTATGAATATGCTTGTAGTGACTCTTCCATCATCGGAGAGAAGTCAGCAGACATCGGCGTTCGTTGCACTCGTCTTAGCAGGGAGGTGTTGGATCTCACCAATGCGGACCATGTTGCACAGGCCATCATGCAGTTAGAAAGCACGCTAGGTGCAGATGTGTGGATTTCCATTACATGCACGCACTATTCACCGATTCAAAGACTCAATGAATCTCAACATGGACAGAAGTTCTCAAAGAAGTTGAAGCAGCGTCAAAAGGAGACCAGACGCATGTTGGGTTATGCCATTCAATTTGCAGAAGCATGCCTCAACAATCATGGTAGGGTGGCTTTCGAGCAACCTCAGGAATCAGGCATTTGGGAATTGCCTGAATGGCTGGAATTCGAAAGGCGTCATGGTTTGAAAAGAGCCTATTGTGAGGGTTGTGCATTTGGCCTGAAAGGAAAAGAGGGTAAACTTCTTCGCAAGCCTTGGTGCATCAGCACCAACGACATGCGCTTGATCCAATTTGTGAACCAACATCGATGCGATGGTACTCATGAACATGGTGAGTCAATGGGCGGTAACGCTAGTCACACGGCTTACTACACCCCAGCATTTGCTGATATGGTCATGGAGGCATGGTATCCACAAAATTGGTACAAACAGGTTCCTTCATTGGCAGGTGTAACCAAATCCCTTACTAAGAAAGAATGGGCTAATGATCCCAAAGCCTTAGAGGCATTAAAACAAGAAGCTGTGGAGTTAAGATCTAATCTTACCTGGGATGATGACACAGTAGCCCCCCTTTACCAAATCCGAAATTGGGCGCGTTCAGCTGGTGCACAAATCAAGGTGGCCGAACTGCTCACTTTGGTGGGCATCAAGCACCACGAGCTGGAGCCTTCTCAGTGGAAATGGAAAGGTCGCATTGTGTACAGAGGCGATCAGGTGAGGGCTATTATTTGATCAAACGGCAACAATGCCGACATCATTGATCGCATTAAATGCAGCTATTTGGTATGCTTGTAGGAAGGGCCATGCAGCATCATGTTCAGATGCTATACAGGCAGTCGGAACTTGATGACAGCGACCTGGCATATGTCATCATTCCTGTCGAGTTATGGCTCGATGAATGGCACACCAGATTCGATCCAGGAACTAGGTTGGCAGTGCGTCTGAAGAAATCTCTCTACGGCCATCCAAAGGCAGGCCGCTGGTGGCAAGACCATTTAGACCGTCGACTTAGAGCTCTTGGAGCAGAAGAAATGCCTATGTACCCATCAAATTACCTAATACCATGGAAAATTGGTAATCAAACGGTAACCTTACTTCTCAATGTTTACGTAGATGATCTTACTTTATGTGGTGATCAAAGATGTCATTCAGACTTCTGGAATAAGCTGCGTGAATCAGTAAAGCTAGAGCCTGAGCAGTACATCCTTGGCCGGGAAGGTACACTCATTCTTGGTCGAAAACACTACATCAAGGTTGAAAATGATCACACCAAATGTGAACTTGACATGAGGTCTTACGCAGAAAGTATTGTCGACACCTATTGTGAAATAACTGGGTTTGATAAGAAGCGTTTTCGAAACGTTCCCACTCCACACATCCCAGAAAGTTCTATCACAGAAGAAGATTTAACACAATCTGGTGAACTCGGCACGGATGCGTCTCGCATCCTGATGCGTCTGTTGTGGTTATCAAGGCTGACTAGGCCCGACTTGTCATTCATTGTGACAAGGTTGGCCAGCAGGGTCACGTCTTGGACAAAGTTCGATGATCGTCAATTACATCGCTGTGTGTCGTATCTCAATTCATCCACGGAAGTGGTCTTGACCGGCTCGGTATCTCACAAAGGAGATGTTCGGCTCGATGTCTACACCGATGCAGACTTCGCCGGCTGTGTCCACAGTGTCAAGAGCACGTCTGGATTGTGGGTTGATGTAACAGGCGATGGCCATTCGTTTCCATTATTTTGGCAAAGTAAGAAGCAGTCAAGTGTGGCGCGCTCAACTACGGAGTCGGAATTAATTGCGATGGCCAATGGACTGTTTGGGGAAGTCTATAACTTGCAAGCCTTTTTACAGGCACTTCTTGGAACAGTGGTCCACATTCAGTTTTATCAAGATAACACAGCGCAGTACTGCAAGTGCTAAAGGCTGGGTACTCGGCACGACTACGCCACACCGGTAGGGTGCACAAAGTGAACGTGGCATCGGTGTCCGAAGCGTTGGAGGATGAAACTATATCTGCAGATCACTGTACGACCTTGGAGCAAAAGGCAAATGGCTTCACCAAGATCATTCCACCGATTGAATGGACGATGACTCTGCAACAGCTTAGCCTGAATTACAAATCATAGCTTTTTAGCTCGAAATAGGAATTATACAGAAGACCATGACTTTCCTGGATCGCCAAGTCTCGAGGGGGGAGTTGAAGAATCACACACAATGTGATCCCCTTTGTCATGTATAGATACTCCACTTGGTTGATCGGTTGTCATGCGTCATTCCTACATTCTCATTTTGGTATATTCCGACTTTTGGCTCAACTACTGCTAAAACAGTGCGCGTTTTCATTGTTGCTGTGATTGGAGCTGTGTCATAGTAACAACATTCTCTTGCTGGAAATTGTTTGCTTCATTCAGTATCATTTGGAATACCGGTGTTCGGAATTCATGTTTTCCTCCATGTTGGTTCTGGAATCAGCATGTTAGTTGGGAGGACCACCATGGAAGATGGATACATGTGTTTTAAGGGTACCCGGTCGCCTCCTCAAGTATTAGGCCCACCTGACAAGCAGCACATCAGTATGGCGACACAGCAGGAGCATCAAAGTGAAAAAATGGGCGCCATCGTAAAAACCTGGCCGAAACCTTACATACTAAACATGTTAAACATCATTTCCTGATATATACGGCCTTTCCGAAAGTGAGTCTGAGCCAGTTAGTACTGACTGCATCTCATTGGTGGCGGCTGGGGCGCATCACTGCGCTGGACACAAGCATCCAACAACTTGAGCGGTGCCCCAACCTTCTGGTGGCCACTGGTGGCCAATGTTTCTATGAGATCATGTGCATGTGATTGCATGTGGGTCCATGCGTCCCAAAATTTCTTCGAAAATGTGCGGGAACACCCTATATTCTGATATAGATTTTCAGTGGTAAAGAAAACGCGTTTTTCTTTTATTTTGCACTGGAACTCCCCCGTATAATCCGTTGCATGTTGACGATTACTGGGTCAACCTTTTGATGTGCGCATTAGTGTTTTAATATTTTGCTGTAAACGAGGATTGATATGCTAACCAACTATGTCTTTCAGTGCATCCACATTTCAATGATTTGGGTCGAAGATTTGACCATGATCAATCCCTTCCGCTTATTAATATTAAATAGCCCCCAGAAACCATGGTGGATGTAAGAGATTTACGCGGAATTGGGGCCATTTGGGAGGTGCTTAGTATTAATAGGGTGATGGGATTCGTATCCAAACTCTCAGGATGCCAAGAATTCCTGCAGGCTACCTCCACCCTCGTCACGGGCGCGGGCCGCTGGCCTCTGTCACTGCACCTGGTTGCTGTTGGATCACAGGCTCCAGATGGATGGCGATTCCAAAGTACCTGGCGACGTGTTGGGCTTACGGATGTTATGACACGGTTCTTACATACACTACATATATTATCCAGCCTGATGGGTTTCTTCTGCTTGGGATCCTAATCTAGTAGGCCCCCCCCGGTGGACAAGTTTTGCCACATTGTTTTTCTTGCTTGTTGCCTTGACAGTCTAAAATTTCACCATGTTTATCAAAGTGTTTGCCAAACTCTGTCAACTTGTCCAATGGTGTGATCCATTAGATCCATATTTCATGCCTCAAAAAGTCATGGATTTCTGCCTCCCCTGGTGGCTCAAGGAGGACCAGGACCCCCTGCAGCGCAACGCCCAGCTGACGGCCCTGGCATCGGCCCGGCGCTGGCCATCGGCCTTGCGGCTGGTGCAGAAAGCTTGGGTGCAGCGGTGGCAGACAGACGACTATGGCTGCAGCCAGGTGGTGGATGCCATCAGCCAGTCACTTGAGGGAATTCATGCGGAGATTTCGGAAAAATGACAGATGTGGCATTTGGTTTTTTCTTTTAAGCGGAAATGAGAAGTATATATATAATTATATATATGTGTGTGTGTAGAGTTTATCGTTTCTTAATGGTTGTGATGTTACTTGTCAATGACTGTGATTATATACACACACATATATATTATATATATATATAGATATAATTATATATAATTATTGTGTTATTAACATGCCTTGCGAATGTTACCCTTGATAGATTTGTTTAATGGCCCTGACCACCGCCAAGGTGCAAGCAATGGCCTTCAGCTCTGGATACGATCATGAAAGCTGGAGAACCTTTGGCAGAGTGAAACTTTGTATTACCCCAGGAGCCCCGAAAAGACTTGAAAATCTTGAAAACAAAGTGATGTACCATGATGCCCCAACGTACAACTATTTCAATAAGAATTTATTTTTCTGTTCTCTCCATGCGTGGGCTCTCAGGCGACCTTGTTTTATCATGTTTTATCATTATTTCACCCTCTGGTCCCTATCCATGTCATCCCTTCCGCCTGATAAACAACCCCCGAAATCCTGGCGCATGGGTTTTGATCCGTTTGTGTTTGGACTTGGGGTTCCTGAATTTGGGCGGAGTGGGTATGATGGGTTATGTTTGAGGGGGCTGTGAGATCATCATCCTGATATCCGAGACTAGGGATTATATAATCATCCTTACGCATTTAGTTTGATCAATTTGGCATTTTGACTATCACATGTACACAAGTGCTAGAACTATTCTAATATTCTTGCGAACATGATGGTGGTGATGGTGATGATGATGATGATGATGATGAAGATGGTGGTCATGATCAGTATCAGTATCATTATCATCGGCAATGTGAGGCACCGCCTTATGCTCTGAACAGCTTCATGACCTCCATTTTCTCGGCCTGGCGCTGCGTACTGTTCCTGGCTGCTGCTGGGCTCATCACCTGCATCTCGGCCGTGCTGTCGACGCTGGTGAAAGGATGTGGCACCTGGCGGCCAGGTGGGATTGTGGGATCCGCGGCGGGGGACAGAACCAACCTGAATCAATCCATCTGGTTGTGTCTGAAAATCGGGTATCCCCCGAAAATTGCATGTCTATGGGATCATGGTTGTGATACCCTCTTTTCAGACAAATGCGTCCAATGCCATGCCAAGTCAAGTATTTTTTTCCGAGGGGCCCGACAAAAAATGATGATAATTCAATGGCCCTTCCCCATGCCAAAACCTTTCTTTTCGAGGGGCCCGAAAAATGATGATAATTCCAATGGCCCTTCCCCACACACTCACGGAAGAGCATGACCCCACTTTTTGGATTGGTCAGAAACTGTAAACTGTTTGGACGCCATCTGCCTGCGGATTTTCAGGATTGACGGACGGGTGGATGGATGGATGGATGGATGGATGGGTGGCACGCGGGCACTGCGGCAAGGCGCAACCCTCCCTCCTGGCACACAAGTTGGAGTTCAAGGTCCAGAGACTGGCAACCCTTCGCAAGCAGCAACCAACTCACCAATGCCCGGACAGACGCATGAAGCGCACAGCCTAGACAGCACTGGATCCTCGAACGCCACCACTTGCGACGGGACACATCTTTCCTCCATTCCAGCCCTGCACCTTCTAGGTTCAAGCAACGAGATCATGCCAGAGCCCAGGTTGAGAATCCAAGTCGGTTAAGGCTGTGAGGACAACCCTGCAAAGCTTTGTCGGCATGCTATGGGAAACAGCCGGTGCGGATTTTCAGGACCAAACAAGCGCAGCAAAATTTTCATGTCTCAGTTCTACTGTAGGTCAAACACATTGCGCGATCTGGTTTGAATTTGTAGGTGCCAATGAGCACGTGGAATCTCATGGTGCAAAGGCTTGTTATATTTTTGCTCTTCACTTTGATGGCATGTGGAACGCGGACGCATTGTGGTAGATCGGTAGGTCCATTGATAAACTCCCTATATAACTATAATATTAATAATCTAATTGAGACATGGCTGTGGTAGTCATTGGGGATGGTTTGTTGTGCTGGGTTACCCACGTGATTCGCTGTAGGGAAACACGGAAACACTGATGGAAACCTTAATATCCTACGGCACATATAAGACAATGACTAGTTCGGCAATTGTTCCCTGAATCCCTTGAATAGCGGGATGTTTCTCCTACGTGCCACCACGAACAGATTCGAGGCCTCCACTTCTGGCATCAGAACTCTCAGGCGCTGGATGATAGCGACGCCGAATTTGCGCGTCATGGGGATAGGTAAAAAAATTGTGGACCAGAAATATAGAGGTTGATGCTTTATGATGCTTTCAGGTATCCAAGAAAAGTGGCAACATGCAGTAAAATGATGGAGATGACCACTGGGTGGTGGTTTCAGATATCAGATATCGCTGGAATTTCCGTCTATATATTCGGAATGATGGTCATGAATCGACCCTCATATCCTTGGGACTGGTTGAAGCCGCCAGCCGGAGATGCTTGTACATCAACAATACATTGTCTGGCTCCAAGTACTTGCCTTCTGGCAAATATCTATTTTGTTTTTCTGCATAATGACATGAAGAGCCCGGAGAATGTCGGCCCTATGTCTTGGTGATGTCAAGTCGTATCTCAGGAGGTTCATGCATCAACCTTACGTCCGTCATGAGGTCGTTTTGGAATGGCGAGACAAGCCCCTTCATGGTCCAAGTTTGAAATTTTAGCAAACCCACTGGCAGATCGATCCTTTTCGGATCTGTTTTGGGCATGGGTTCGAATCGATTCTATACAACCCAGTTTGCTCTTGGCCTGGGTCTGCCAATCCCATGGCCTATCGGCACAGGGGAGCAACTCAGCCTGCAATGCTGTCATCAGCCTTCTGCGACTTGGTCTGAATCAATGGGGCACCCCTTCCATTCCGAAGGATGAGAGCATCCTTTGTCCCTTTCCCGCATTGGGGGGGATCCATGCTGGGACTAACCCTCAAATTATGTTTGCCTGGAGTTGGTTGGGATTCTTCTGATTGGGTGGCCCCTAGGCAAGATGACCAGCAGTGGCAACGTGCAGCTTGGTGCTTGGAGCTTATGGGTGCCAAGCATTTGGAAGCAGATGAGTTGAGCAAAAGCTCGGCGATGAACCACAGGATCAGCGGGGAAACTGTGTTTGGGTACACCTTGGTTGGTTTAATGTATATCTTACCATAATTTTCAGCTACACATGGGCGTGCACATGGTATACAAAATTATTTATACATACGCTTTACTCAGTATACACTATCCTGCCAGTGATTGACTATTATACAGTGAACTTTGAAAGATGACAGTGCAAAATTTTCACCATAATGTAATCTCATTCCCGGGATGCCATCAACAGGACAGACAAGTACCATTTTGAGCGGGGGAAGGAGGGCTTCAACACATCCAGCAGTATTTATCAGCAAGAGATACTGCAAACACATCTCATTATTTGCACTGTGCAGATAGTCAAATCCCAGTTCTGGTTGGCTATGTCTGTTGGTGTTCGCCGAAATCCAAGAGTATCGCTTCCAAGGTCACCCAAGAAGACGGCCTTATATAGGAGCATTAACCACCATGAACCCCTTATTGTTGGTGGATTAGCTCACATATTCTCGTAGTGTTTTTGAATTACACTAGTTATACAGATCTATATACCTGGAAAGCCGTTTGAACAAAATTTTTTGTTCATTATGGGAAAATCTGGTCGAATACACCTTTTAATGATCAATGAACAAGTTTACCCGTAATGACCAGATAATTTGGTCAATTCGCGATATTGCTATTGGAGGTGCGCCCGATCCTTGCATCCAAGGCTCACAGTATGGATGTGAATGATGTGAAATAAAAAAGGGGAAGATGCATGTGACCATGCACCCCAAATCGAGAATGGAAGAAATATATGATGGGTGCCATAGAATATATTATGTGGCATAGACTATATATTATAGATTCCCAACAGGGTCTCTTGAAATATGTGCATAGAAACCATGCGTCCTGATTGGGATGATTGCATCGCTGCTGAGCACGTTGAGGCCCGCTCTGATTACGTGGGGGGGGGCATCGAAAAACGAAATAAGTTTGATTTGATTTCTTGCCATGAATTCTATCTTGCAAGTACAGTTGGCTTTTGCTGGAAGCTTTTTGGGCGTTCCCTTCAGAGCAAACCGGCTCAAAAAAAAAACGTTTTGCTGCCTTGCTATGGCGAACCTTTATGGTGTTGCTAAGCATTGGTGGATGGAGCCTTCCATCCAAGAGAGGGTGAAAGAGGGCGGCATTGGTGCCATTGTTGTAACCAACAATACCCAGCCCCTTGCATCCAAAGATGTACGTCATGCCTTGTGGAACAGAGAAGTCTTGATCCCAATCATGGAGAATATGCGATACCACCACCTGATCAAGACACCTGATATGGGGACGATTCAAGACCAAGTTTGGATTCTCCAGCTGCTGTCTACCAAGCAGGGATTTGATGCCCACAACCTTCCTCCAATCCCTGAAGAGTTGGAAGTGCCGGTTCATTTGTCGGTGATTAGCATTAAGAAGCTGGTGTCATATGTGCGAGCCAAGTACATTCGTCCTCACATGCCACGGGACAAGGGTTCCTTTCTTCATGCATGTTTCCATTTTTTTATGTGATTATCAATCATGCAGTTCAAATCAGATCATAATTTCCAGGTCTTTCCCGGAACCACTGTATGTATTTTCTTCCATTCCAATTTGCATATGATGGATGGAAGAAATCCTGCACCTGCACCGCTTCGTGCCCATGTATAGTGGTAACACTTATAACTATAACTGCAATGGGACTATATTGGATAAACCATCTATCATCCGGTGCAAGATTTCTTCCATCCACAATATGGTTCAGATCCCTTGGATCATATATGCCCCATAGCTACCCCTGGAGGACGCAGACTTCAGAGAGCTCTTGACCCACTTTGGCGAGTTGGAGCCTTTTTTGCACCCGGCACATTGTCCATGGTTCATCGGGCCAGCACACTTTCAAATGGTAAAGGTGAAACCGGTGAAACCAATGAATTTGACTGCAGGCTGAGGTTGATATATAGATTTTATGGGAATCATTTCAATATATTTGGAACCCTACATTACATGCATGTATACAGTTGTTGCAATATGTTGGAGTGTTTGCTATCAATTCCCACCGGCCTTGGCCGCGCAACTCCGCCTCTCAGGAACTCTATTTGGACCTCCCCGCGGACAAGTCAGCTCCTGACGACAGCGAGGATGAGAAGGGCGAATCTAAGGAGTGTGATCTACGTGATCGGGTTCGTCAGGTGCCAATTCCTTCACCTACTACAACCCCGGTTGTGCCAGCTCTGGCTGAATCTGTGGGTGGGAACTCGGGTTTGCTTGAGAATGATATGTGGGTTCCAGAAGCCCTTCCTGTTGATGAGCAGGAATGTGTGTTTGGATTGCACAAAAAAAACATGGAGGCCAAGGCCAGGATTGCTGAACTCAAAGGTCAGAATTCCAACAGTACTGGTACTCCCATGGTTTCTCCGAGTGATCCAGTTCCAGAGATAGCGTCACCAGTGGATTCGACTTCATCAAGGGTTGCTGAAATTAGATCCCGGATGGAAAAGTTGCAGTCAGATTTGAAGTTTCTTGTCAGTACCATCGACCAGTTTCCGTCTTTATGAAAACATTGTTCATATGGCCATCCAAGTTGATCAACAGCAATCTTAAGAGGTATAGATGTATTGCCCTGGAACCTTAGGATAGATGTATTCCCCTGGAACCTTTAAAAATTAATATCAAACCTGTGAACCCATCTCTTTCCCAGGTTGGAAGCCAGCACTTCTGTGCCAGCAATGGACTTTGATGAGACTCTCCCGATGGTGCCGGATGAAACTCAGTACTACGCTCCCGATGCTGTGCCCGATGCTGTGCCCGATGCTGGGGTGGATGAAGCTTGGTGCCCCCCCGAAGCCACTCAGGGTGAGGATGAAGGCCCCAAAATCAATGATCCTACTACTGGCAATGGTGATGAAGGTGAGCGCATTCCTGTTCCTTGAACCGGATATAGGTTGATGTCTCTACCACTTCAACCGAACTTCAAGTGTTTCTGTTTTAGATGTTTTTTTTCAGGGGAAAAGTTCAATATGTGGGTTCTCAGCTGCTCTGTGCGCTCAGGTTGTGGATCGCTTGAAGCAACAGCGGTTGAAGGATGAAAAGAAAGAGGAAAACTCTACGAGGAAAGGAAGGAAGCCTAAGGGAAAGGCAGGAAAGGCAGCCAAGGCAGAAAAGCCAGCAAAGGCACGAAAGGCAGCTAAGGCAGGAAAGGCAGAACCTGAAGCAAACAAGGAGCAATCCAGCAACAGTCCAAAAACCATAGGTAAGAGACTTCGCAGGATGAAGTCACAGGTGCGCATGGTAAGCAATGAACCAGAAGATGGTAAGATCACCCAGAAGGATAAGGCCACACCATCAGCAGCAAAGACAAGGAATCCAAGCAGTGAGACAACGGCAATCCCAACCACTATGAGCAAAGGTAAGGGCAAGGATGAACGCAATGTCAAGGAGGCAGGCAAAACGAAGAAAGTCAAGAAGGGATGCAAGGTCAAGGGATGCAAAACGAAGAAAACGAAGAATGTAAAGAAGGCACAGGGTGAAGAGGAGGCAATGGACCAGGCAGGACATGCAGGCAAAGGAGCAAAGGCAAAAAAAGCAAAGCAGTCGTCCACATGTGCGGAGCCAGCCCCCAAAGCTGGAGAGGACAGCCCACTCGCCTTTCATCTTAAGCATGCATGTTTGTTATGACATATCACATATGAGCAACATAATGGCTACATATCCTTAAGTATAAACTGATCTACAAGTCTATTACCAAATGTCTCCAGGATGGATGCCGCCGAAAGCGCATCAAGCACGATGAGACCACGGGTGAGATTAAATCCGTAGTTGAGCACTTGAACCAACAGTTTCAAGGGCAGTTCAAGATCATGGTGTACTGGTCGCGCTCAGCCGTAGGATTCCTAATCCTTAAGAATGGCAAGCTCCAACAGGCTTGGTAGCTGAAAACGTTAAAACCTTTCTGATGTTCTAATTATTTGATGTTCTGGTTGAAAATGTTGGGAATTATGTATGATTCATTTCATAAGTAGGTTACCCACATGGACAGACCCGCCAACCCAGTCTCCTTTGCCATTGTTGGTGTCCCGATCCACGCCATGTCCTGGAGGTTTGCTACTGCACAGTGCGCTTTGAGGATTTGATGTTTGCAGTCAAGAGTGTCGCAACCATAGCTACTTTATTGCACCCCAGGAGATGCTTTTCCTTTGTCCCATCAACCATTCAATAAATGCAATCCCACTTGGAAAAAGTAATTGGCCACAAGTGGTAAGCCATGACCCTGAATTGTTGAATTAACAATCTGCAGCCCTTGACTTATCTGAGGCTGGTCAAATGCTCAACGGCATTGATGAAGCGGACGCTGTGTCGAATTTTCTGTACTACAAGCCAGTTCTTACCGGCCAGAGCTCTGATCCCAATTTGAAGGAGGAGTTGCACAAACATATCAAGGAATTCACTGATGAAGTCAGCCCCGAAAATGAGGATGCTGATGCTCAGGATGTTGACTAAAGAAACCGGACATTTATCTTAGAGTATATCTGTAGGGTTCCCATGCATGTAAGGCTTTCACATCACCGTTTTCGAAACACATGGTTTATCGCAGTGAACCTCCAGCTACAATGACTACTGAACGCATGAACTCATTTTTCATTGTGTTCATATCAGCATTTGATCTGTGATTGCCTGCTGGCATGGTCCGCTTTGTGGCACACAATTCTATCTTTGGGGGATATGGCTTAAACGCCACAAGACTTTGTCTCGCCAGCGCTTTGGGGAAAAAAGTGTCCATCTCCCACTTTGTATTTGGGCAGGGTTCCATTTATCCAGGTGAAAAGAATACGTACCAAAGTCTTACAAAATCGGAACAGGATGTGAAATTACCACCAACAATTCTGGGTTCATTCACTTTCAATCGTCATTCTCGCCTTGGACAGGTTATGTGATTGCTGCTGCTGCTATACCAGCTGGCTGAGGACTGGATGGTGGTCACATTTTTTCACAAACAATGGATGAAAAATGAAACCCAGCCCAG